AAAGTTCTGTATTCCTGCCACAGCCACGCTTCAGCCATTTTGTTTCTGGCTCCTGGATCAGGGATTCCTCCATGCCGATCCGATCCGATCCGATCCGATGCGAGCTGCGACGCAGTTGGAACTAGTCGTCTGGGTGGAGGGCATGTGTGGCAGAAGCGTGTGCAGAGGAGAGGACCAGTCCTTTTTGGAACAAGCAAACAAAAGAAGTTTGCCAAAGAAATTACGGTTCACTGGAATCCAGATTGTAGTCGTAAATTATGGATTCCTATTCATACTTTATATATGATCCAAGCAGCAGTACTACAGCCGCCAGTTCCATCGATTTTGCACAGATTTTATGGCCAGGAATCATGTTTATAATCGTTGGAGTTGTATGCTTTTTTTTGGGCCATGTTTTTGAAATAGAATAATTGAAATTGGGTGAATCGTAGAGGTAACCTACGGGGGGAAGAAAGGCCTTGAGCTGTTTGGTGTTCGCCCAAGTCTTTGGTTTCCTCATTAATGTCTCTGAGTACTTACAACAAAATGCTGGCTGGGCCAAGTCAAATGTAGGCGAATGTCCATGTCCTGACCTTGATGGGATGGCCGCTAATTGCTTTATGGTACAAAAGTGTACGTGTACGAGCATGGCCTCGAGGCAAGGTTACGTTTTATGATTTGGCAAATTTCCACTGGCCGGGCGATGAGTTCCGTGTAAGGGACTGCGCATGAAAGGCTGCTGAAGCGGATGGACATGGACGTGGACGCGAAAGGATGCGCAAAGTGAGGAAGGCTGCGAAAGGAACCCAGAAGGATGCAAGAAAGGATAACTTTATGAGAGGCTCGTAAAGACCCGTTGAGCATTCGACCATTGAGCAATGGGTGATTATTTGCTTTGGTCACAATAAAGGCGACGGGTGGCCAGAATAATGCTAGCATATCCTTGCAATCCTCAAGCCATTAGCATGGCGATTAGCGGCTTTTGCATGGCTGCTTCGGCTCGCAGAGGGAAAGGGCTTCAACCGGACTTCCAGGAACGCCTGGGACCTCTTTTACTGGCTTCTTGCAGAATAATTTTTTATGTTTTGCGTAAAAAAGTTCCTTAGATTTGCGTAAAAAACGTTTGCCGACGATTAGAGAAGTCAATTTTGATTCCAGGAACATTCGTTGCGTCCTTTTACGGCGACTGTCAAAGGCTTTGTCCGACTGTATCCCCGGTACAGGATTGAGGCAATGTTATGCAAGCTTGTCCAGGGCTCTGGATGGACGGCTGGGCTGCAGCTGATTTCTCTGGAAAGGTGTCGCCTCCTTTTTCCTGGAAAAAGATTTCCTTTTACCATAGGAAAACCAAAGCGAAGGAAGGGGAGGCCATCATAAAGAATTCCTTCCCTTATCCAGACGATAAGCTGACAAAATTTCTTATCAAAACAAATAGGAGGCACTAATAAATTGTCGATAATTGTACATCCAGCCCAAAAAGTATCCCAGTGTAGACACAGCCCCGTTAAACTTATTTTCCCATTTTCTCAGCTCCCATCCATCCCCTCACCGTGGCACACTGAAAATGGAAGAAAACAATAAAAAAAACTGAGGAAATTCTCAGCGAAAAATGGTGCAAAGGGATCAGATCAGCAAGGATCTTCGCTGCTGTGTTCGGGTACACTAATCGTTTATTATGATCAACGAGCTGAATCAATAAAACCGAAAACGAAGCGCCCACTTCAGGACATGTCATCGTGCTGGTTCCCACTCTCATCCTTGCTTATTGTGGTTCTCATTCTCAGTCCCATTCTCATCCACATTCCCATTACCGTTCTCAGATCAACCTGTTTCACAGGGTTGGATGTCCTTTTGTGTGTGCCTTGGAGTGTTACCGTTGCTGGTTGCTGCTTGCTGGTTGCTGGTCGTGAGAAATGAATGCACTGAGGGGTAGGGTAACAGGTCCTGTCGCTGGCCCCTTATGTTGCTGCTGTTGTTTGCTGTTTGCTGGTGTACAGGTATGCAAAAGTCAAATTGGTTTGCTATGGGAATTTGTCGAAGGTGTCTGGGGCTTGGGAAGGTCTTTTGCGAGCAAATGTGTGTGCTGGGAATTCGCTTAGTCCTCCCTTTGTCTGGTGTGAATATGCTGGAAGGAATGAAAATTGTGGGCGGCAGAGAAACGATGAGACTTAGCCATGAAGAATGGAAAAGAAAGAAGGGGGTGAAGAAAGTTTATGGGAAATGGCTAGATGGAATCACAATGTATGTACACAGTTGACATTCTGTTCAACGAAATGTAAAAATGAATAAATATAAAGGCTATGGCTTCAGGTGGAGTATAAGCATCTCTAAAGTTATTCCTTTGAAAGTTCTTCCTATGAATTAACTAAAATGTAACCCTCGAACAACTTTAGTTTTGTTGGTTCTCGATCAACCTCATCGTTGTTTGTTGAACTCTTTTAACATTAATTTCGGACTGTTTCCGATTCTTTTTGCCAATTTCCTGTCTGACGTACCAGGACACAGTTTGAAACATTCACACAAATTTCGTGCACTTCCTTCCGGTGTGCGGAACTGGCACGGAGAAAGGGAAAACAGAAAAGGGAGAAGAGCACGCAGAAGGAGATGAGGATGAGGATATTTTGTGTTCACATCTCGGCCAGACAATAAATAGAAATCTAAATTGCAAAATATGGGCCAGCGGCACTGTCGAGCGAGAGATAGAGAGAGAGAGAGAGAGAGAGAGAGAGAGGCCTGTGGGAACCAATTTGATGTGGGCCCACCCTCGCATCGATAAGATCGTTAGCCGAACGAGATCTGGGTCTGGGCCCGGACTCTCTAAGGAGGTGCTGAGAAAATCTCGTTTGTTGTGGCAGAGCAAAAGATGCAAAAGATTTCATTGTTAGCCTGGGAGCATCGGCTGTGGCAGGGCCATTGCTCGTTGGCAGTGGCAACAATGTTTGTTTGTGCGGCAAAACAGGTTAACAGGTATTTAGCCCAGGGATCAGTCAGGATTAGAGTGATGCCCGAGGATGCGCACACTCGAGTGGGTGGCCAAATCAGCAAACATGTGGAATCCATTGGGACTATCGACGGAGCATGTTCTATGTCCCATAAATCAGTACGCCCCATGAAAGCAGGACATCGGCTTCAAGAATCATAGTTCAGATTTCATTTGCATTCCTCTGGCTCCGACCTCGTCGACACATTAGTCGAGCAATTAAGCGAAGGACTCGGCTCGGGGCGGCACTCTGGGAAAAGGGATAATGGAGAATGAAAATAAGTAAATGGAATGAAATGGTAATTTGATACGCGCACACTTATGGAGCGCGTTTCCCAAGGACTCGCATTGCCACAGCGACAACGGAGCCTCAAACAGGTAGCTCCGCGAGGCAGTCCTTTGAGTCCTGTGTTTCCTGCAGCTCTGTAGTCGCAACGAATCGCAACGCAAGCAAACAAATCTACAATTTCAATGATGGATCGATTGTGACCTTCGCTTGAGCCTCCGTCGCTCTATCGTCCTGCGGCCGGTGAGCGTTAATTAGATTTGCACCGAGCGGCGCTCATCAAAGTGTTGGTCAGTGGAAAAATCACAGACTCAATTTCGGGCTAAACACCTGTGGGAAAGGACCTCACGCAGCCAAGGACAGCCAAGCGAACATGCACTTGCACACATCTCGCTCCCCAGGACGTTCCATTGACTGACCTTTCCTCTTCTCTCCTTGGCGTTCCCACATAGGGAGTCGAGTCCCGTTCCCATTCCCATTCCCATCTTCGTTTTCATTGTTATTCGCAGTTCCTTTTATTAATTTGAAGTGCCCGCAACTCTGGCTGGGTTTTCCTTCCGGTAGAACTCCTCCTCTCCCTTCGGTTCCTCCTTTCAAGATACCCAGTGCCATTGTCCAGCCACGGCACTTCCTGTGGGTCACTTGGAACAACATGTGGCCAAAACAATCTATTGTTAATTAATTGTGCTGGCCAAGGCGCAGGGGCAGAGGAAATGAGTGCCTGTCAGTCAATCGTCGAAGGAGGAGCCAAGGACTTTGCAGTAGCCAATTAAATATTAGCCTTTTTTTTGGCTCAGGCAAGTCTCAATTTCAATTTGGTTAAACGCGAAATGGAGTAGCATCCACACCAGCTTAATGACAGATCTTTCGAGTATTTGCGGTCCTGCCACCATTGAACGACTACTTGGGGTACACTTCTGGTGATATTCCATCAGGAAATGTGCAGGGATTCGCATTTGCGACAATTGCCGACCATTTTCAAGCGATGCACTGAGAAGGTAGATGTATTTGGACTCTGCAAGCAGCTCTTTGTTTACCTAAGCTCGTTTTTGTATTTTTCAGAGAATTGCAACCGTCATGGAGTTGAAAAATAAGTATCTGCCAGATTTTGCAACTCTCCGATACACAGATGTCCGATGCTATGAGCTGCATACATATACTAAATGGTGCAGCTAGAACATGAATGCCCGTGATTACAACCTTCTTCCCGCAGGAGATTGAGGAAGGATGGCGGGTCCTTCTTGGGCTACGACCACGCGTACAGCTCTCCATAGAAGTGGCCGATTTCCATCATGAGTCCGAGTCGGATAAGGCAGCAGGTTAATATTAGCATTAATAAAATTAACATAAAGATCCATATTGTAATCATATGTAAATAAATACAAAGATGTTTTTACCAATCCAAAGTATAGCATACTTTCAGATGCAACGTTATCATTATTTGCAAATGTGTGGCATACTTTTAGGATGCACGTGTTGTCAATTCGCTGTTGTTGTACAACAAAAGTTTTTATTTTTGTTGTTGTACAACAATTATTTGTTGTTGTACAACAATTATTTGTTGTTGTACAACAATTATTTTTTGTTGTACAACAAACATTTTTTTGTTGTACAACAAAATTTTTTTTGTACAACAAACACTTTCTTGTTTTACAACAATAAAAATAACTCCCCGAAAGTATGCCACATCTTTTGTAATCAAAGCCACCCCAAAAATATACTCCATACATTTAAAAATAATAATACCGATGCGTCTAAAAGTATGCTACAATTTTTATTGGTAAAACTTATTAGTATTTACATATGATTATACATATGATCTATCTTAATCTTAATCTTAACCTGCCGCCTGCAACCAAGTCGCTTGCACAGTGGAGCCCAATCTGCAAATGGACTACAGTTCCTCGTTGTCGTCAAAGGGTAGAGTTCCATTTATTGGGATCCATAAGTCAAGGCCAGCTCATCCAGCTCCATCAGTTATTTCCACAGGATCTTTGCGAGTGCGTGGTCTGTCTGTCTAAGCCGATGCTAGCATGGTGCAGTTGAGGATCATCTGGCAGTTCCGCTCCGCTGCTGTAGGCAGTCTAAGCAATCGTTGTCAACCAGCAGAGCCAACTAAGTATAGCAAACCTGCTCGTCGGTGGCATCTCTGAGGGTCTCGAACAGGCCGGCCGTCTTGCTCTGTGCAACGACGCCACCCTTGTAGAACTTGCTCAGTCAATGGGCATAGATGTCCAGGGGATGCAGGAGGCGATCTTTCTTCACGTTGTTGCCAGACTCTTCATTGGCCAACTGGGGAGTAGCAAACACAAGATTGTCAGTCAATTATATAGATGTGTACCGCTGATATACTTACATTCTATCCATGCAGGGTATGAACAATGGCCAATAGCTCAATCTGGTACGAGCGCATAGTTCTTGCGACGCTTCTGTTTTTGTTCCACGTAGTCAGGCATTCGTCCCAACCATTCAACCCGCACACATCGCCATGGCCACATGGCCACGACGCGGACGCTGTGAGTTGTACATCGGCTTGACGCAGAAGATTAGTTCTAAAAACACAAAAAACAGACAAAACTTGGCAAAATGATCATCAAAACAATGAAATCAGTGTGACCGCGGATTTATCGATAAAATATACCGTCTGACCCTCAGAAATATACTGAAACATACCTAGATGGCGCAACGTAGTTGACATCTATCATACACGTATATTTACATATTTGATGTACGTCCTACTGGCTCCATCTGATTCACAAGTAAAAGTTCCTCGTCTCTTGGATTGCAATGTAGATGGCGCACCTGTCAGAATATATTCCAAGTAAGTTTCAGTTCATAAAATTAAGGCTTACAGAACAATGTGCCAAAAATATGATTAACGGAAGAATTCGAAATGAAATTGCACTTGAAAATGTAGATATGTACCTATAATTTATCATCACAGAATTGACAATTCAAAAAATGTTTTGTAGACAGATATAATTAAATAAAATAGAAATGATACTATGTATGTATGGCATCCTGTCCTCCTTCCCTTCGTAGGTCCACCGTTTGTCCACTCGCATGTGTCATCCCTGGGGTCGCAGAGGGGAAGTCCTACATCTGTCGCTTTATGTGGTGCTGGGGCTGCAGCCTCACGCCTCCAATGTCCCAATCCCGAGCCATGTGGCTGCTCGCTGCTCCAGTGTTTTTTCATTTATGCGCCAGAAGGTTCTTTGCTTTTCCTTCGAAATTCATTTTAATTCGCTTTTATTTCTTTTTAATTTTTATTACATTTTCGTATATTAGCTTTGACTTTGCTTTAGTTGTATCCACTTTGAATTATTTGCTGTTTGTTTTTCCCGCTCGCTCTGTGCCAAAACGAAAAAAAAGGATGGAAAGGAAAGCGGCATCAACAGCAGGAGCAGCAGGAGCAGCAGGAACAGGAACAGCAGCTCCGGCCAAGCATTTTTTGTTTTTTCTGCTGGTGTCCAGCATTGTTCTCCTGGCTTATGCATGGTGGGAGGGGAGCGATACCCATGCCACGTCTAGGGCCCACTCTAGGGCTCGGGCTCTGGCTCTGGCGTCGGTCTCCGGCTCCGGTTTTGTAGTTATTGTCCAACGTTGACTGTTTACGCCGAATGCGCCCAGCCACGTCGCGATCCGCGGAGTAGGAAATTAAAAATGGCGAAATAAAGTTAAATTTTTTATGGTTTGTGCAAATAAGTCACATGCTGGCGTCCGGACTCCACCGTACCGATCCCCCCTGCCCGTTGGCGACTGTGCCCCACCGTGTAGCTCATCGCTTGTTAAGCAAGAAAATAATATTAGCATTAAGCGTTTGTCTCTGCGCCTCTGACAGAACGCGGCGCCATCCGTCTTCCCTCCTTTTTTCTATATACTCTCGGACTCTGACTCGTATTTATTTTACAAAATGGGCGACAAACTTGTCTGTGGCGCGGCTCCTTTTTTTAGTCGCTTCCACGAGTAGTTGCCGTGTGTGTCCTTTCTCCCACATGCAGCACATCCAATTAAGCAGCTCTGCAAATGGTCTAAAAAATGAGCAGGGGATGGGCGGGTGAGAAGTGGGTGGCCAAAAGAGATCCCGGGGAATACGGCTGCCATGGCATGGCATGGCTGTGTCTAAGGTTTTTATTTTTATGCGCTGGCTCTAACGAGCCAATGAAAATAAAGTAATTATCAAAGGCTTAAACACATTTTTTTGAGGGGAAGAGTCGAGTTTCAAGTAAATTACGTGCCAGAATGATCAGATCCCTACCTACCCCAAACGGGAGCCAGAAACGGTTGCCACCGTTCCAGCTACAATATTCGAGGTGTTCCATAAACTTGAAACCGGTTTCCGATTGACACACTTGCACTTTCTTTCAATTAGCCGCAAAAGACCCCCTCGTGTGCCACGGCCGGCCGTGTGTTTCTTTGCGGGTTTCTTTTCTTTTTCGGCAAACGAAGTGTTTGAGATTTCTTTAAGGCCATAATTAACTCGTATTTAAAGCAGGAACAGAGCGTGGGTGTCGAGGTGTCTAGGTGTTGAGAGACAGGTCTGTTACGATGTAGGTAGATCGCGTGACGGGCACCACAATAGGTGGTGTGTCTGCGGCATTCTTAAGAGGCTGCGGCTGTTGGGGCATCGCTCAGTGCCGCTTTGGACGTTGCCGCGATCGTGATCATGTGGCGACTACTGTTGCTGTTGCTGTTGCCGTGGCTGTTCCACTCCGTTGTGGCGCTGTTCGAGGAGTGCAATCATCAGGTGACGCTGTCAACGGGACAGAAGCTGCTCATCAACTCTCCCTATTATCCTGGCTGGTATCCGGTGGGAACTTCCTGCCGCTACTCGGTGGAGGCGCCCCGTGATCAGGTGCTGCAATTCAAATGCGAACTGCAACTGCAAACGGTAAGGAGTGAGGAGTGAGAAACAAAAGGAGATTCGTTCCTGGCAATTTTCTTACCTTGTCAACTCCCGCACACAGCTAGCCACGGACCTGCAGTGCCGAACGGAGGCGTTTCACTTCAATTCCGAGGGCGATGAGGTGTTAACAAGTTCCGAATACTTTTGTGGCAGCGGAAAATTCGAGCGCAAAAGTTTTCTCAATCGTGCCGTCATTTCCTACATTTCTCACGGCACAGCGAAGCCCCCGCCAGCCGTGAAGCTAAAGGATAAGCTCTCGGTGCCGGCAACAACAACAACCACTACAGAGTCGCCGCAAGCTGGGTCCATCGAGCAGCAGCAGCAGGCGGAGGAGGAGGAGGAGGAAGAAGACGAAGAGGAGAACGAGGACCTGAGCGACGAGGTGTTGCACGTGCTACATGATGTGGGCGTTAGCGATGCCCTGGCCTACATGGCCTCCCTCCTGTACGACGAGCCAGAGTCCAACAACGATGCTCGCCACACGCCGGCCACAATTTACCTCCGCAACTTGCCAAATGGCACCTCAAAGACTTCCGCAAAACGTGCCAAGATTGTGTCGAGCTACCCGCCCGCCTTTGCCCTCGGAGGCGGCCGTTTCTCCTGCCTCGTGGAGGCCATTGTGCCCACGTGCAACTGCGGCTGGAGTCGTTTGCCACGGATAGCCAGTCCCACCAACGAGGAGGCCGCCCTGCACGAGTTTCCCTCCATGGCTGGCGTACTAACAAAGCGTCAGGGAAAAGTCTTTTGTGGTGCAGCGATCAGTGAGTAGTAGCTAAAGCCGTAGAGGATCTCCACACAATGCTCTCTCTCCCCCTTTACAGTTCATCATCACTACTTGCTGTCGGCTGCCCATTGCTTTCTCGGTGCAGAGACGGGCAGCGCTTCCCTGCTGCGCGTTGTGGTGGGTGAGCACGATCTGTCCAGCGCCTACGAGACGTTCTTCACCCGCCGCTACGACGTGGAGTCCCTCATCCTGCACGAGCAGTTCAGCCAGACCAACGGGCAGCTGAGGAACGACATAGCTCTGCTGCGGACACGTCTGCCCATTGCCTGGAGTCGGTATGTGGGTCCTGCCTGTCTGCCGCTGCAACCGACGACGGGTGGCAAAAAGCTGCCGCTGGCGGGCCAACAGGTAATCGCCGCCGGCTGGGGCACCACCTCATATGGCGGACCACAGACCCATCGCCTGCTGAAGACCACCCTCGATGTGATCAACAGCCAGCGCTGCCGGGAGACTCTCTCCTCGTCTGGCACTGGCGTTCCGCCGCACAGTTTCTGCACGTACACGCCGGGCCGGGACACGTGCCAGTACGACTCGGGCGGTGCGCTGTACGAGAGGATCAATGGCCGCCTGATGGCCGTCGGCATAGTGAGCTTCGGCCATGCTTGCGCCACCAACCAGCCATCGGTCAACACGCGTGTGGCCTCCTTCATCAAGTGGATACGAGCGAAGAGTCCCGAGGTGGCCTATTGTCCGACCAGAGCCTAGAAATAATGCGCAGAAAATGGCTTAAAATAAATGGAAAATCTGTAAATGAAAAATGCATCATTATTGGAACCAACTGAGGAGTACAACTCACCCCCTATTTGGCGCTTGTTCCATTTCTGTCGTGCCACTTTAACCCTTAAGTGGGTGTCAAGTTTGTCGCTTTGCCTGAACGCGTCCGTCGCGAGCATCGCCATTCATTCGTCTATCAATGATGCATGCCTATCGGAACGCTTCACTGGAGCTGTACGAGTATGCCACCTAGCTGCTGCTGGGGCAATGCAATTAAGACCAAATGTCAACTAATTAACACTGCAAGGGGTTGTGGCAGTTGCCAGAGGCAGTGCGCAGTCGATACAGATTCTTTTCAGTTGCTTTATTTTGGAGAGTCGAGTCCGGGCGGGAGCTGGCTTCCTTTCAGATAAATAATTAAACGATTCGCATAACAGATGAAGCACGCTTTTAGGCTTAAAGGCAGCGCGAATCGTCATCGTCTGCCAACTTCGTTTCGTCATGTCTCTCTGGCTATGGCCTGGCCATGACGGATGCCTATGTGGTTTGGGGGGCATCTTTTTATTCCTATTTCAGAGCAGGAGGAGTAAGAGTATGCTTTTTGTCTATATATGTTCTGTGGTTGTACACTGGCGTTGCACTTTTTCAATGCTTCTCCCACCTAACCCTCCCGAGGAGCGACGCTTGTCTGTCTAACTTTGCTTGCCTGCATTTGCGCCTTTTTGCAATGTTGCTGCCTCGCTGTATGTTTGCTTTTGTAGTTTTGGTGCATGGTGCACATGTCTGTGCCTGGGAATGCCTTGTAAGCCTGCTGTTCAATTTACGTGAAACGCGAGCAGGCACAGGCCAACGTCAACTGCAGTCTGCGAGCGGCATCAAGTGTTGCACGGAACATTGGGGGCGCGGTATGGCGGCTGGTGACTTCGGCACTAATTGAAAAGCAGCAGCCACTAAGAGCCAGGCTGCAGGATACAAGTATCAGCCAATTGTGCAGGTACAGGGCGCATTTTGATTAGGGAAAATCACCGTGATTGGAGGAAACAAGGAAATCCACTGCAACGGTTGTCCACTGTAATAAGAACACGAATGCGCCAAAATCCTTTTGCATTTCCCACCAGCATTTCTATTTGGTTTTCGCTTCTTTTTTCTTGTTGCTGCTGCACAGCAATTTCCTTTGCATAAAGTTTGTGCTGCATTTGATTACAAAAATGGCGGCGCTGTTGCGCCTCCTCCTCCTGCTCCTCCTGCACCTCCTGCAGCTCCTGTTGCAGTCGTAATGCACGCCTAAACATTTACGTTTAGTTCTCGTTTTTGGGGCGCAGCTGCAGCTGCGGCATCCGCCTAGACTTTGGGCATTCATTAGCGTGCGTGTGTGTGTGTGTGTGTGTGTGTGTGGCATGTGGTGGGTGGATTGGCGGCAGAAAAAACTCTAACAAGCTCAAAAAGCAATTTGCAAGAGGCAGTCGAAAAAATTGGCAAAAATATCGACGTGCTAGCTCGTGCAATTGACGTTTGGTTGGGGTGGGGAAAGAATTTTCGGGGACCAGGGGATTGGGGGGATTGGGGGGATTGGAGAGGTTACCAGTTACATAAAACCACGCGTCGCACAAAAGCCGCCAAATCGTCGTCGCTCACAAAGCCCCAGCAACCAAAATACAAAATGGCTGCACAATAACCAAAATTCCCACAATTCCAAAAAACTATTTCACCCCGAAAACTATTTGAGGGCAGAAGCAGAGACACATGGAACAGAACTATCCACACAATTGTCAGGGAAAATGATTTGGGGAACTGCTGGTTTAACCTCAAAAATATATTCGTTTCGTGGTCAGAAATTAGCATCGTTTTGGGTTGATTTTTTGTGTGTTCGGATTATAGCCCTCATGCTGATGCTAGTAGGCCAATGGAATCCCTTCGCATCACTAAAATCAGAAACAATGAAAAAATCAAGCAACATTTTGAGCTTTGTTTCCCCCAAAATTTACAAGTAATAAATATTTCGACACAACATCTAACGCACAATGTTCATTTGCCGTGCCATAGGAGCACTCGGAAATTTGTGTACAACTTCCAAGGCCCTCGATTATGCACTGCTGACTGTCAGAGGTAGCTCCTCGGATCGACCACCGCTGGCGCTGATCAAAAGCTTCTTGAAAATACGCATGATGGAGGCATCCCACATAAGACCCGTGCCGGAACATCTGAAGCCACGAATTATGAGCGAATCGAAGCCGCTCTACTCGCCACATCGCTGTGTGCTGGATGATCGAAATTGTTGGACGGACTTCAGGCAGGAGCAGCAGCAGCGGCAGCGGGAAAAGGCAGCTAAGGAGAGCAAAACGAGGCAGCGACAGCAGCAGGGAAGTCTGTTCAAGGATGAGGACATTACCGATCTGGAGCCATAAATGAACAGCGAAGATGCACAAAATTATAAAGTAAATTTAAATGTTTTTCATGGGTAGAAAAATTTAATTAAAACTTAGCAATGTTTATTTGAATTTTGTTTCATTATGCCAGCGAATTTCTGAGCTAAACATTGAGATCTGCAACGCATACTAGACACATTTGCGAACACTTCTTGCAACAATTTGTAGCCATGCAATTTAGTCTCAAGTTGCACGCCATCTGGTTGCCTCCTCGTCCCACGTGCAACTGTCATGTTGGAGGCCCTCGAGAGCAAAGCACAAAACATAATTAAACAATTAAAAAGCCTTTTGGCACCCAAACCCCAAGCGGCCGTGGCTGTGGGTGCCATACTTGGCCCAGTTAAGAGCAGCGAACATCAAAGCCCAAGAGGCTGGTCGGCGCCTAATTACGCCGACGAGTGCAGTGGATGGAAGCGATGAAAATGCAAATGTGCAGAGCAAAAAATACGCCAAAGCCAAAATTAACTGGCAACAATTGAGAGCGGCAAGAAAAATCCGAGAATATGGATGGAGGCAAGTTAATTGTGCAGGGAGGACTGTGGACAGTGAACCAGTGGACGAGAAGTGGGCAGCCGGGCAGGACACTCGACGAGCTAGTCCTTGCTCTCTGCATTTTTTGCTGCCATTGATTTTTTCTATATTATAAAATTTATGCTACTCGTGCGCGCTACTCTCTATGCTTTGTTGTACCCTGCCTCTCTCTCTCTCTCTCTTTACTCCCGCCACCACAGCACTCCATTTTCTGCCTTTGCTTTTTATAAAGTCCTTTTTTTCTGCATTTTTTTCCCCAAGCGCTTTTGAGCTTTTGTTGTCGAGTGCATCGGCAGCGGCAGCCCCACCCGAACCCAAAGAAACGGGCTTGACAATAAAAATTATGAAGCATATTACTTGAGTGCACTTGAGTTCTCTCTTTCCTCTATCCTCCATCTATTTTAGCCTCGCCCCCGCTTCAAGCTCTTCTGTCACTTTTCGTACCGCTCTTGTTGGGATTTTTCCTTGTATCTTTTTGTGTTTTTGTTTGCGTTTTTGTTGTGCAGCTTGTTCGGAAGGATGCGAAAATATGCCAAAGTATGTCGCTAGTTTCTAGAGTGTACGCCGGCGTGTTAAGTAGCAGCAAGGGTTAGGAGCCCTCGAGATAATAATAAACTGAATGAGCTGCAATTTAAGATGCGAATTGCAGCACAGATTTAAAAGGTTACAGAAATGGTGGGCTATCGGGCTGGCCAACAGATAATGGAGACAGATTCTTATATGATTAAATACATTACCAAGACATAGTTCGAGTCCTGCAACGAGTCCCCGGAGGCAAGCAACCGAAATGGAGAGGATCTGTAAAACAAAGAAAAATAACCGATTATTCCCATTCATTTGTTTGTAGTTTAAGGGAAATATTTATAAGTTTAAATACCAATTTGAAGCAATTTCAATTTCTAATAAGAACCGAAGAGAACCGCCCAGCGCCTTCGATCCGAACGTAATTGATGACGCTCCTCTTTACTACTAATCTAACAAATGTCCCATATCCCATTTGCATTCAAAAGTTTCCTGAATTACCCTTTCATGTATGTCAATTATAAGTTTATTTAATGTTTAGTCAAAGTTCGCTTGAAATGTGTCTCCCCGACATGCTAGAAGCTCGCTCGTCCATAGATCATGGCATGCCGGAACTCCGCCCAGCGACTGCGATGCGACATGTAGGATGGATAGGGGCAGATGACCTTGCGGGAGATTTCCTTTTGCGGTGTGCTGTAGTCGATCTTTTGAGCAGACACACGTCGCCGCAGCTCCTCGCTGTACCGTCTGCGTTCGAGCTCGTCCTCATCCTCGTGGTCGTCTTGTTGCTGGCCAAAGATAACCTCACGGACTGTGCCCACACGCTGATCATCATAGGGGGCATCCATTTCGTAGTTCTGCGCTGCCAAGTCGTGTGCGCTTCGCTCTTGCTCCTGTGTCCAGTCTGCAGCCTGCCTGTGCGGCTGCCCCTTGTGTGCATCACTTTGCACCTCTGAGTCCATTTCGGCAACGGCATACGCCGGCAGATCCTGGGAGACGCCAAACTGCCGACGACGGCGGCGCGTGGCCTGGCCCAGCCTTCTGCTGCTGTTGCTCCAGCAGCGACTCTGGCTGCAGTGCAGGTTCGGAGTCTGGTTCTGTTTCTGCAGCATTATTTGCCGGGCAGCGAACCAATCCTCCCGCAGGGGCCACTGCCTGGTGCCGGCGCCCAAGTTCAACATTGCTCGATTAATCACCGCACTGTGCAGCGACGATTCGACACTGTACGATCGGAGCCTCAGGCCGAGGGCCGGTCTCAGCGAGGAGCACATCGCAGGGAGTCTTTTCAGAAGGGTTGGCATTTTGGAAAGTTGCACTTTTAATTTTTTTCTATCACCAATGAACAATTTTGTGAGAATTTCTACAAAAATTTGGTTGAACAACAGCAAAAGGGAATTTAAGAATTTGTACAAAAGTTTTGTGAAGTGCTATGGAAGACAACAATTTTGGAACTGAGAAAAGTACACACTGCCCAGGCCCAGGGACATTTGACGCAATGGTTTCGAACGAAAACGCTTGCTTTTTCATCGAATTTTCCCCATGCCATGTGCCACACACATAGGATTAGGAAAATCTGTCCAAACAAATATCATAATACAATATTTATGGAGACATTTCTTTTGGGTGCAAATTAAACAAGAGAGAAAATGGTTGAAATAAAAATGCAAAATGCCAAATTGAAGACCACAAAACAATCTTTAGTGCATGAAGAATATTTATTAATATTTCATCAGTGGGTGAGTGGCCCGAGGAGGATGTCACCAGCTAGAGCTAGAGCTAGAGCCAGAGGCTGAACCTTTGACTATATTTTCACCAATTTGAGCTGAGAGCTGGGAGCAACAACAGCGACACTGCAAATTGAGTTAGTGCAAAAATTACAACAACAATTACGAGTAAAGTCTACGATTTGATGCACAATAAATGCAAAATAGTATTATAAAGTAAAAGCTATCCTCTGGCCGAACACGGAACACTCTTAAGGAGGGGATTTAAATGTTAAAAAAAGAATTTCAGGCTAGAGTATTTAATAAAAGTTGATAAAAGCTTGTAGAAAAAACTATTTTATGACCAGCGGGATTGGATTGGTAAGAGCTGTGCGTAGGGATAGCGGGTTTGTGTGTTGTTTAAATGTAGGCAAAGACATGTCACTGCTTTTTAATTTAAATGCAAATTAAGGCCTTTGTCAACACTTTGGCAAACTCAAGACAACTGCGATGACAACGTTGGATGCCCAAGGCTGAGGCGGCTGCAAGGAGCCAAGGAATGGCTTTATATACTTTTAGATAAATGTGTGTGTGTGCGTGTGTACTTTAGCAGCAATCAATGCTGTGCACATCCTTAACGCACACAAACCGCACCACCCACATAGCGCCACAGCCAGTTGATGTGGGAGGTGATGCGAGTGTTGACACCGATGCCATAGGACTGTCCACATGCCCGCCCGTAGCTGATCACGCCCAGCAGATACATTCGTTCACGCTGGCGCAGAATAACCGGGCCCCCAGAGTCGTACTGGCAGGAGTCCTGGCCCCGGCCGCTCGCGTCGTAGGTGCACAGCTGGCTGGCCGTGATGCTCGAGTTGTACTGCTGGCGGCACACCGAGTTCTCCATGGTCAGCAGCGTGGCCTTCTGCAGAGTGTTTGATTTGGCGGCGGCAAAGCCCAGGGTGCCCCATCCTGCAATGTCCACGTTTTGGTAGCTGAATGTGCTGTCGCTGTGGGGGATTCAATGGCAGTTTATAGAAGTGTGCAAAAGTCAATAAACAGTCCTTCACTTACGCTTGTCGAATGGGCAGACAAATGGGAGCCACACCCCTCGACCACTCCATGGTCGTGGCTGTCTGCAGCAGCGCAATGTCATTGAGATCTCCAGAGTTGGTCACCGTGTAAGCGGGATGATTGATTATGCTGCGAATTCGATGCTGGACCGCATAGATCGATTCGCTGGCTGGCAAACAAAATAATCCTTACTGTCACTGTCACGAAAACTGAAGCAAAGACTCACAAGTGCTGAGATCATGTTCCCCCACAAGTGCCAGCAGGCGACTGGCCACTGGCTGACGCCTCGTACAGTGGGCTGCGGTCACAATGAACCGTTCGCTCACGATCGTGCCGCCACAGAAGATGGGCAGCGTGGAGGCCAAGTCGCGGAGGCCCACCATCGAGGGGTACTCGTGTTTGGCCGTCTCCACGCCATTGGCCACTCGATTGGGATACGACCAGCCGCAGTCGCAGGGCGCTGGACGTGCCACAGCCTGGCAGCTGAGACGCGCTCGCTGGCGGCTCTGCACACTGCTCGAGTAGTAGGCCAAAGCCAGGGACTGGAAGTTGGACGTTCGCGAGATCTGACCCATGCGGCAGTAGTGTTCGGCATCGCGGAACTGCAGGTCCCCGTCGCGTGAGACGAACAGAAACTCCGAGCCGCAAGTGTCGGGAAACTAGCACGGGGGGGGGGTTAGGATTGTGTCAGCGATCAGAGAGTCAGAATCGATTCAGGACTCACCAGCTCGTAGCGGCAGTTCAATTGGATCACATGATTGCTGGGCGCTCGCAGGCGGAACCTGCAACTGCTGCCACTCGGCAGGGCGCCCGGAAAGTTGAGGCTGGTTATGTTAATCACTTGATTCGACAACAAATTGTAATGCCTGGTGCACTGCTGCTGCCCGGCAACTGCACCGATGGCTAAAGCCACAAGAAAGCTGACAAGTTGCAGCAAGAACATGATGCTACCTTCTGTAATTATGAATCCCTTACAGCTGCACTTTATATACGACCCACCTACAGCAGATAAGAGTGGAAATTTCACGAAATATTTAATGAAAACAAATATTGGCCATAGTCAAAGTAGAAATGGAAGTCAAGGTGAGGAAATGCACCTATTTACACGATATGGAAGGGCGGGGGGGGGACTCGTGGACTTATTCCTCAAAGGCTGACCACACAATTGGAATTGGCAATCTTCTGACGGATCCAGCTGATGTGGGAGGAGATGCGAGTGTTGACGCCCATGGGGTACGCGGTGGCGGCACAGCTCTTGCCGAAGCTGATGATGCCCAGCAGGAACTGCTTGGAGGAGCGCAGAATGACGGGACCACCCGAGTCGTACTGGCAGGAGTCGCGCGCGTTGCCCGAGTAGTCGTAGGTGCACATTTGATTTGGATATATGTCAGCCACATCGCCATACTCCGTCTGGCAGTCCTGGTTGTTCACCACCATCAGGTTGATCTTCTGCATGGTGGCCGATGTGGGTCCACCAAAGAAGAGTGTGCCCCAGCCAACTGCATCGACAGTTTGATACGAGAATGTCTGAGAACTGCACAGGGGTTTAGATTTTGAAGCAATGGAAGAGTTGTGAGTACTTACGTGCCCACAGGCGGCAGGCAGATGGGACCCACGCCACGGGACCACTGGATGTCGCTGGCTGTTATGAGAACTGCAATATCGTTCTTAATATCCGGTTCATCCGCATACTGTTCGTGGATTATTATCTGCTGTATGGCGTACTGCTTGTAGTACCTTGAACTGGAAGCTGCAAAGAGCTGCGCTTAGGCTGTGGCTTGCATTGGCTTTGGGACTGCCCGGCTGCCCAACTTACGGTTCTGCAGATTGTTCGTTCCGGCAATGGCCACAATGTTGATGGCCTGCTTGACCTGCGTCGTGCAATGGGCGGCGGTCAGGATGTAGCGATGTGCCACTAACGGGGAGGATGGATGGGATACCAATTGCGAGTTAGAAGGTCTCAAGGAGTTGGGTTCCTCGGATTGCGCTCACCTATGGTGCCGCCGCAGAAGGAAGCCAGATTTCTGGTCACATCCTTGAGGGCCACAGTGCTGGGAAACTCATTTTCGGCGGCCTGCTGGCCATTGGCAATGCGCGAGTTGACCGACCAACCGCAGTTACAGTTCTGCCTGCTGGTGGTCAGGGTGCACTTGAAGCTGCCCCCCTGCCGGCCCGTCGAGATGTAGGCAAAGACCAGTTCGGTGAAGAGGGACTCACGGCTGAAGGTGCCGCTGCCGCAAAAGTTCTCGGCTCCGCGCATCAAGAGGTCGCCCTCGGGGTCCAGCCAGAAATTATCCGTGACGCACTGGCCATTGCTCTGCGGCAGACTGATGGTGCACTGCACCTGCACGGAATAGTCCACGGGTGCCACGAACCTGTAGCGGCAGGACGTGCCCGCGGGGTAGCTGCCGGGATAGTAGGGCGACTCCACGTACGTGGTGCCCGGCCTCAGATTGTACGTATTATCGCAGCCCTCGAAGTAGGCCAGAACCACGGGACACAGGGCCAAGAGCCACAGCTCCGTGATAAACATTTTGCGGAGAGACCTAACACTTTCGTGGCCGAAACTCAACTGGAGCAGCCCGACAATGCCGCCCACAACTAATACCCGAGACAGTGGCAGAGTTAATTGAAAACACAAAAGAATAATAGGCCGCGTTCCAGCAGTTGATAAAACAGTTGAAAGTTTGCCGTTAAGTATACGCCTGCCCCCCCATTCTGCAGTTGTTCAAATACAATGTTGTGCATCCAACTCCAACTACTCCATCTTTGAACTTGGCCAATAGCTGGCTGCCTTGGCATTATTCAATTAGCCCGATAAGTGTCGACTGCATTTACTGGGGGTCATTGCTACTGTATGGGCTTACATCTACATCAACGTCTACGCAGTCATGTTCCATGCTTTATTTTCCAGCAGCAGATCGTATGGGGTTATCCGCCAGCTGCGCTGCTGGCTGCTGGCTGCTACCTGGCTTGCTGGCTTGCTGATAAGCAAAAGTCGAAGGCAAATACACAAATAAACGTTGAATAATGAGTTCTAATTAGGAGGTAAACAGCGACAACAACCAACATACGTAGATCTGTTGCGACGGATTCACTTTTTCCTGGTACAAACGCGATAAACAAAAGATAAACCAGATCCGGCCACCGATTGTTTTCCTCCCCCGTTGGCATGTTTGTCATGAAATTTACGATTAAATAAACACAAGGAATAAAGAAGTAAACAACAAATTTGTGTCAGCTTTTATTTCCTGTTTATCCAGGCAACTAGCTTCAGGCTAAACAATTCTTATCAATTTTTATTTAACGTTGCCATTTGATATATTATTTTATTTACCTACTCGTACTCGCATTTTTACTTGAATTGTTTGTTTTAATTTGACAGCCATGAAATAAGTAAAAATAAAAACTATCTTTAAGCGAAAGTACAAGTATTTTCCAACTCCAAAATGTTTGTTGATCTTTAATTAATTGTTTGCCCCCTTATTGTCTTGCAACATCTACGTACCCAGACCAAATTTCTTAAAAATACATTGAAAATGGTATGGGACTGGCGCGGCTTTAAATTTTGGGTGGAAAAAATATAAATTAATGGGGAACACTAAAGCAATCGTCGTGGACAAGGTGCGGCTAAATGCTGATGAATATCAGCCAATGTGTCTATCAAAAAATGGACTTTATTCACAAATATCAGCACACAGCACAGCCGCAGCATGGCAGCAGTTTTGTCTCTGCCCCGCTCGGAGCTGTGTAATTATAATATGGCAGCAATTTTTGTCTTTATCTTTTTGCAGCCACACTTTTGTTGCCATTCCAGCCTCTCCCTCTCCCTTCCTATCCTCTGGCTTATGCCTATGTTTCCGCTGTACATAGCACGGCCATGTCTATATTTTCTAGTGTCACACTCAATTTTTTGTTGCTCCATTTTTGAGGGGTTTCCTCTCTTTTTTTTGTGTGTTTTGTTGTGTTGATGGCACTCCATGGCATTTTTTCTCCATGCATTTGCATTTTCCACTAATTTGACTTTTGTATTGTTGCGGTCGGTGTGCACCCCTTCCACTGCCCTGCCTCTGGCCTGCAGCTCGTTTATGTGTTAGAGGTTTTTGCTGGTCGTTTTTGCTTTCCACCAATCGCATTCCCTCTGCCACACACAGCGTCTGTGTTGGTGTGTGTCCTGCGCTTATGCATTGGTGGGTGGGCTGCGCTACGCACTTTTTGACTTTTCGTTGAGGAAAATGCGTTTTCATGCACTGGTTGGCTGTCGAGTGGCAGGGCTGGGCGTGTGATTGGGTTTGGTTTTCAGTTGTGTGGCTTTTGGGTTTGGGTCTATGCTTCTATCTCTCTATATGCCTCTGTGCCTCTCTTTTCGTTTGCCATTACATACCCGTGTGTGTGTGTGTGGGTGAGTGGGAATGTATTTTCCCAGGCCTTGTCATTTGATGCGGCTGCGACTCTGTGGCCATATCATTAATTGCCGTTAGCTGGTAACAGGAACTAGGCATGGAAAGCGTGCAGCACACACAAATTAGTGGGCAACGCGCGCACTTTGTATAGAAACTACAACTAAAACGGGACAAAGTGCGGGGGAAAGCTGAAGCTCTGACAGAATGGCGGCTGAAAAAACGGATAGACAGAGAGGCTTTCAATAGTTGCAGGCCAGAGCATAGAACGTGCACATGAATCATCGTGTTTGATTACAAATGAAGGCTACTACTATGCACGTTTAATATGGGAATTTGATGAGGCAGAAGCGAAGAAATAATTGCATCAAAATGTTACCTTTAGAAGTAAAAAACTCGTTCGATGCTTCTCGTTTGCAAGATAACAGGATGAACTGTAATTGCAGTTTCCTAGGCTATAATCCGACAGATTTGAGACTGTATTTGCCTTCTCTGCTGCTCGCCCTTCAGCATTTGACAGCTTTGTACAGCCTCTCCAGTTCCAGGCCACTCGTAAGCGGAAACACATTCAATTTGCTGCACCTTCAATCACAATAAATCCATACAAATTTCCGGCTTGCTTTTTTGCGAATCTCTTTTCAAATGCAAACTAAGCAAATTTTAATTAATGAAAAATTGCAATTAAAAATGGGGTTTTCTTCCAACTATCTCACTCTAGCATGCGCCGTGCACAGTTTTTCATTTGCGGCTGTACAAAACAAAACAAAAAAGAGCGGAAGGCAATCCACAAAACAAACAAAAACGGGAAAAACAACAACAACAGCAAACTGTGCGCCCAGTAAATGCATAAAAAACACAACGCACTCGGGTACATAGTATGTACAGCGATGGGTGGTGGGCTGTGGACTGTGGTAGGCGTTATCTAAGCAAAGCCTCTGCCGCTGCAACGCTGCCAGCGTCACCGATTAACATAAACACGCAAAAAACATTAACAGAGCCACAACAGCGGCAGCGGCAGAGGCAGAGGCAGCAACAGCAGCGGCAGCGGCAGCAGCGGCCAACGGCAATGCAGTTAGAAAAAGCAACAAGAGGAAAACTATAGCAGCGAGGGGAGATGTATTTCATACATAGATAACGCGGCGTATGTGTAATGTGTGAAGGAGATGGAGAGAGAGTAGCAGCCAGCCCAGAGTCGACTCTCTCTCTTTCGGTCGCTCATTCTGCCACTCGCTCATTACACTCATTTCGCATAGTAGTTTGGGGTGGCGCATAGGCAATTTTCCTCACACAGAAACACACAATCAAAGCGGGAAAAGCATAAAGCAAAAAAAGTGCGCTGACTGCGCTGCTTTTGGAGCACCCAAACCCAATCACAAAAACGCGTTAATAAGAGGAAAACGTGGGGCAAAAAACTACACACACATAGCCAAGCGCGAGCATACACACAGACACCACGCAGCTAGAGAGAGGGAAAGACTGGCTGCAGCCAATCACAGAATTTGTTTACGAATCGTGCGGCAAAAGCAACAGAAAGAAAATACTTGGGCAAAAAAGAAAAATCCACCCACAGCATCGCTCTCTCTCTCTCTCTCTATCTCTCTTACTCGCTCGCTCGCTCTCCATCTCCCTCTCGCTGTGTGTGCCTCTCTCGCGGCACAGTTTTTATTTTTCCACAAAGCTCTTTCAACGTGCGCCTCTCTCTTAAGCGCCGCTCGCTCTCTTTTTGCTGCTCTTTCGCTTGAGTTTCGGTCCCGTGGATTGAGTGGCTGCCCGGTGCAGTGGCAGTGGCAGAGAAACTGGTTTTAGGTTTTTGCGGAAACGGGAGGGAGATTGGAATGGCATGGAGGGAATGGTATGGGGGGTGGAACGAGTTTGCCTCGATTGATGTTTTAGTTAATATGGTCAACAAATTTTAATTGAATGCTCCATGTTTGTGAATGTTTTATGAATGTTGGACGAATGCAGCTGGAAAGTGCAGAGCGAAACCGAGTGTGGAGTGTGGGATGAGGCCTTAAAGCTGTACCAAATCTAAATCGATTTTAATTGGATTTGATTTCAGTTGAGTATATGATTAGATAACCAAAACTACTCTGACATGCAAATGTCTTGTGAATAATCCACTGAAAAGTGGTTTCACTTTGGAGCATTTCATATTTTCCATCCAGGCTATTAGGTTTAGATTATTTTGACAAATTCCATATGATGTTCCACATGATACTGCTCTTAGCTGGTCTTTTAGGTAAATACAATGGAAATTGTCGCAGCGAAGAGACTCCTTATAGTTATACATAATTAAGTGAAACCATCGCTGCTATTACTCAACCACTTTACGACATTCATTAACCCAGAAAGTATTTGTTTGTTGCTATAAAAATAGCCCAAGTTCCCCCTCAAATAACTTTTCTATTAGCCAACAATCGATTACAAAGGCTTATGACCTGCGTGCCAAGCTATAAGCAGATACTCCCCCCCCCCTAGCAGGAGTGGGACTGCAGCTGTGGGTCTAGATATGGAGGTAATAGAAAGAGAATAACGAAAGGAAGAAGCAAACAGTTAAACGAAACGGTAAACATAACGCATCAAATGTTAATGTCGCCTAATTGTGTAATTCTGGTGTCGCATTTTGGCCGTCATTTACATAGGACATAACAATGGAACACACTAATGAAGGCACAGAGGAGCGGTGGGTGAAAGCGAACGAACAACGCTAATGAAGTAATTACAACAATTAATTTAATTATGAATTAAGCGATTGTCGCTGTTGTCCTGACATTTATGGGCAGTTCAAAGGCTGCTCTAGGGTAGGGCGATGGTAGCTTACCTCAGTTTGTTTGGTCAACATGTTGACAAAGGACAACGAAGGACGTGCAGGTACAGTGCTCGGGAATGCTTGGGAACGCTTCGGGTTCGCGTTAAGCAATGGAATCTCTTTAAAAGAGAGAAACAACCTTTGGGTAGTTTTCATGAGTTAATTTTTCACAATTCTGTGCACTTTAACCCACAAGTGCCTCAGCGTATTTGCGTCTAACCGCAGAATCGGGAAATGTTTTCAAATATTATTCATACGCCCCATGCGACCGCATATAAACCAACAAACGAGTCCCTGCGTGTGTGTCCATGTTGTGCTAATGAGAACTGACACACAGACACACACCCACACCCACACACACACATACACATGCCTATCGCGCTACAAATATTATCCAGATTTTCACACCTTGTCCGCTTGTTTCTGGTTTCTGGTTTTTGGTTTTTGGTTTTTCCCCTCGCGAACTTACATAATTGAAATATAAAATAAGCCAATTAAAATTAAAATTATTGCCACGCATTATGGCCTGTGGCATGCCCCAAACAACCCATTCCCTGCGTCCCCTAGGACGATGGTAGACACTGGATAGTCGTTGCATTTATTGAAAATTACTGAAAATGAGCAGCGGGGGGGAGGCTGCCGGCTGCAATTGTTGATAATTTGTAAATTATTGCACTGCTGATAAAACCGCAAGGCGGAAAATGTAAACACGTGAACACATGTCGGGTCCTTAATGAAGTCCCATAATCAGATTTTAATTGTTTCAAGTTGCAAGAATTTAAAGCACATAATGACACGAAAATTGCAAATTAAAGTATTCAGAATGCATGGAAAACTATAAACTATTTCACTCAATCAAAAATAAACATACAATTCGACTCCCAGGCATACTGATAATCACTAAGGAGCAACAAGTATGTTATCGGAAGCGTAATTGATACAAAAGTGCTTGATTAGGCGAGCAGGTAAATATATAAACATTCAAAAGAAGCGGCCTTCTGGGAAGTGTGGCGCTGATTGTAGCTGACAAGCGGTTCTGTCGAACTATTTGGTACTTATACCCTTGGAGAGGGCGGTGTGGGTTTGAGGATAAGTTTGTAACACACAAAATAAAGGAATTGGTCAAATATATTCCTTCTTGAGCATCCACAACATAACCAAATTAGGTGAAGATGCCAGAAACGCTGCTTGAAGGCCTTGTTCCTGTGCCTATAACTATTTATGGTAAAAGGAACTATCGATATGTTAGAGTATTTGAACTTCATCGTCTTCAACTATCGTCTTCCTTTCTATTTTGGTTATCAGCATAAATGACACTGGCTATAGATGGCGATTGGGATATACCTAGTTGGTATTCCACCAGGTTAATCTTTTCATTGTAACTAGTAATCTACAAGCACCACACAGATAACGTCAATTCCCTAAAAACCGCATTGAATATTGGTCTACGAGTGTATATATAGGCTTCCACAGTTGGTCAGGCTTCAGTTCTAAAATAAGTATCGCCAATAAGTAGGTACTAGGGCAAGATGACAAGTGTTTCAGCTGTAGTGTTGCTCTGTTGGCTGGCGTTAGCCACGGCCAATTTGGAACTTGTCGATCAGAAGGAGAATGGATTTAGCATGGCGAACTTTGAACGACTCATGGATCTGCGTCCATTGGGTACGGAATTCTTTCGCCATTTCGAGAACATTTCAGAGGCGGATCTGGAGCTCTTCGAGGGGCGGCTACCCAGCCAGCAGGATCTGGTGTGCCTCGCAGACATTACCCAACTTATGCAGGCTCTGACCTCGGGACGCTTATGGGCCCTCAGCAGTAAGTGGAATGCCCATCTGCATTTGGCAAAACCTTTGGAAATGTAAAACTCTTTGCAGTGATTGATTCGTGGGGAACCATACCGTCTGGCTATCTGATGGGAAATCGCATCGATTTCGGCAACTACGATCAGTGCATCAGGCTGGACAAGACTATCACGGATGGCCACAGCATTCAAGGGAAATACTGCTTCTTGGAGCTGCCTGTGGCCAAGTGGCTCGGCTTTGACATGGAGATCTTGAAGGTAACCAACATGAGGACCGCTGTGTGCCTGCCCTCCTCCTGCTCCGCCGAGCTTATGGAGACCTTTGTGGGGCAGCTGCTTCAGCGGCTTCTCGGTGTCAGCAATGCCAACACCAAGTTCTCCATCGACGAGTCGAGCTGTAGGGTAGCACACAGCAAATCCTTAGACAGCCTTACCATTGTGACAATGTAAGTACTGAAATGTTTCGGTTCCACAAGTGGCAGTGTCTAATCAATTGTCTTTGCCAGTGTACTGCTATCAGTGTTTGCTTCTGTGATGATTATTTGCACCGCCTACGACTACCTATTCTTCGGCGATAAGAGTGAGTAAAAAGGGTTTGACTTTGACCGAATAATCAAATAATTATTTTTGTTGCAGCAAGACCACCACACCGTTTAGTCAGTGTATTCTCTGCACGTGCCAATTCCCGAAGTCTATTTGCCATGGTGGACATCGAATCGAGTCCCAATGTCATTCATTGCCTGCATGGCATACGCTGCATGTCGCTTATTTGGGTGATCTATAGCCATGAGTTCATCATTGCTCTGATATCGCCAAATATCAACCAATTGGATGCCCTTCGAGTGCGTAATTTTCCCCTATAAAAACGTTCACTGAACTCACACCTCTTTTTACAGTGGATGCAGCAAGCATTCAGCAGCTTCATTCTGTACGCCCCGTTCTCGGTGGACAGTTTCTTCTTCCTCAGCGGCCTGCTGGTGGTTATGATTTCCATGCGCCTTCTGGACAAGTGAGTTCCACCATCTAATCTGTCTACGTGGCTCCTTGGACTCGATTCTTTTATTAATTTGTCAGAACAAAGGGCAAGATAAATGTGCCAATGATGTATCTGCATCGGTATCTACGCCTCACACCACTCCTGGTGGTGGCTATTCTCGTATACTGGAAATTCTTGCCCCACTTCGCCGATGGACCACTGTATGAGCAGGTCCGCTTTGCGGACTATTCCGTGTGTAAGCGCACCTGGTTCTGGACGCTGCTCTACGTGCAAAATTACGCCACCAAGGAGACGGTGGGTGCAACCAATCACCAGTCGCTAGACATCAACTGATTCTCTTATTCATTTCAGTGCGTTACTCACACTTGGTATCTGGCCGTGGATATGCAACTGTATATCATATCGCCGATTCTGCTGTTAGCTCTTTATAGATGGGGCAAGAAGGCAGCTGGAGGCATTCTGCTGCTCATGCTGCTGCTCTCTTCCTGCCTCTTTGCCACCATACTGATCAAGAACTACAAAGTGCTCTTCAAGTAAGATTTGCCACTTAGAAATAATGGCATCCCTGGCTTATGCCCTTGTCCTTTCCAGAAACGGTGGCATGGATCAGGATATGCAGCGGGAACTCTACAGTCAGACACATAACCATGCGGCGCCATGGCTGGTGGGGCTGCTCTTTGGCTACTTTCTGCACCTGACCCGCGGCAAACAGTTCCAGATGAGTCGCCTCATCGTCTGGGTCGGCTGGTTGCTCTGTCTGGCCCTGCTCTTTACTTCAATCTTTGCCTTGTACCCGTACGCCAAGTTGCTGGGACCGTCGCCAACGGTCTTGGCGCAGGCCTTCTACTACACCCTGACCCGCATCGCCTGGCCCCTGGGCCTCTGCTGGGTGGTCTTTGCCTGCATGCAGGGCCACGGAGGCCTGGCCAACAGCTTCCTATCCTCGCCGCTCTGGCAGCCACTGTCGAGGCTCTCCTACTCCGCCTACATCTGGCACGTGTTCATCATGGAGGTTAACCACAGACGCATACGCTCGTATTCGCATTTTACAAACTACGATATGGTAAGTGAGCCACGAGCACCGTCCCCTCTTTGATCACAACTCATTCAACGATCACCTCAGATGCTGGGCTTTTGGGCCACCTTTGGCTTCACCATGCTGATGTCCTATACGTTCTTCATTGTCATTGAGGCGCCCTTGGCTGGCCTGGAGTCTCTCCTGCTGCCCACTCGCAAGCCCAACTTGAAGCCCAGCCCGCAGCCAGTCGTCGCCACGGACGCAGTCGAAGCTGCCGTCGAACCTGAGGTACAAGCAGAGCAGACCGACTTGGATGTGGCTACTACAACGACTTCTAAACAAAGCGTTTAGCAGCAATTATCATTTGAATCTAAGACTTTAATGTCAATCCACCGCTTCAAAGTGCTGCCTGGTATGAGTACTTGTAAAGTACTTATTTGTAAACCTAAGGAATCTAGAAGTTGACTGAGTAAATATACTAAAATTCTGCATGAGTTTGAATCTTTTAACCGAATTGAGCACAGTCTAAGGGGTAGCTGTCAGTTTTGTATGCCCGACCACTAAAATCGGACTTCAAATCGATATTATTGTATTATGGAAATTATGGAAATATACAAATAAGCCACTTAAAATGAGAAGCAGCTGGCACTGCCCATTTGTGTCCCACCTGTGTGTTCCCCTGAGGCGATTGCAGACAGCTGATACTGCAAGTTGCCGCGACTGCTGCTGACTGCAACTGTTGATAATATGTAAATTATTGCAATGCTGATAAGACCACAAGGCGGCCTATGGAAATATGTAAATGTGGGGCTTATTATTTGTTTCAATATTCGCCATTAATGAAGTGCGATAATCAGATTTTAGTTCTCAACTAAAGTTTAGTCAATATTAGTTTAATTATATTAAATATCATGTTCCTTTCAGGTTAGTTCAACCCACGTCACTGGAAGAACACTGCCCGCAGCAACTACTCAAATTTCGTTCGATATTTTGCCTAATTGACTACAAGTATGGCAAACCTTGCCCAATTTACACCCTGAAGGCCACGCCACAACACGGACCCAAAAATGTTCAATGGAAAATCGCAAATTCAATATTTGAGCAGCACCTGCAACACATGCCGGCACAGAGCAAAGCATGGCAGGAGAGAGACCGAACACCAACCCACAACCCCGTTTTTGGCTGAAGTTGAAGTTGCAAGAGTTGTAAGTTGCCTTCTTACCTGGCCATCCCGACTCTGAACTAGATCCAGATCCAGTTGCAGGTGCTGGTGCTGGTGCAGGGTCCAGGTCCTGGTTCCGTCCGTCTTTTGCCAGTTAGTGATGCCTTCGGAAAAGTTTTCCAGCTTCTTGCGGCTGTCGTCGCTGCATTTCGGGTCGCGCAATTATTTAATGAAGTTATACAATTTTGGCCCATGTGCTGATCAGGGACACGTGCAGCAGTCGCTGTGTGCGTGTGCGGTGTGTTGCGGTGAAAATTTCATTGCTGGGTTGAATTTTGTTGTAATTTGATTTTTGGTTTGTTGGCTTTTGTTTGAGTTCGCTGCTCATTCTGCCAGCGCCATCGTAGACGGCACCAACTTTGTGCAACGGAATTCAATTAAGAAATGTCAAAATTTTATTGAACACAATGCAGATTCCGGACTCGGCTTCACGGTCACCCCGGGACGGTCGCCAGGATCTCTCGTTTCCATTGCATCCGTACGAGTTCGGGGCTCGGGCACATCCTCGACATTAATTTAGGCACGCCAATAACCTTTGCGCACTTTTGCTGCATCAATTTTCATTAAAACGCGCTCGCTCGCTGGCTGGCAACAAAAAAACGTTGAATTTTTTCCACGGCACTCGCTTGGTTTTGCGCGAAAAGTTAGAAAACCGTAAGCGGAAATGAATCCCATGTGCATAAATACGTATAAATCCAAAAATAAATTGAATTAAAAAAGGCTAGAGAAGCGAGAACCAAAAAAAAATTAAACAACAAAAACCGAAAAGGAGTACAAAAAATAAAGAGAAAAAATGAGCACTCGTGCTCCAGCCGGCAATTGGAGTGAGCATAATAAATTCGGGCATCAGACTTTGTTTGGCTTAGTCAATGGTCCAAATAGCACAAAAAAAAGAAAAGGAAGTGAAGAGAACCATCGAGCAGAGCACAGCCACTGGTACAGCCGCACTGGTGTGGTGTTGGTTGGGGGCAAAGAAGCCAGCCAAATTGCCGAGCACCCAGGATGGAGTCAACAAACTGAAGCAAAATCGCGAATTTATTGTGGACACCACAGCAGGCCCCGAAAGGGCCGAGCAAGCTACTTTTGTTCCGAACATTTTTAAATTTCCTTGTAAATGTTTGCCAGTTCTGTAAGCAGTCACACATCACACGTTCAGTTTGCTTCCTGACCTGCCCAGCATTTTCACTCCCCCACCGCAACCAAATAACAAAGTCATTTATCTTATTTTGTCAAAAAATTGTCAACGCAAAAGAAAGAGGGAAAGGGAAGGAGCAAGGGAAAGACTCAAAGTGAGAGTCAAAAGCAGAGCAAGAGGTGGATACAGAGATAGAGCATAGAGATGAACAAAAAAAAGGGTCTGGCTAAGCAGTCGTTGTCTGGTTTCCTGCTTCCACCATAGCCATCACCAGCATAGTCGAGTCCCAGCGCTGTCTGTTGACAGCAATTGTCACAATTACAAGTTGATATGTCCTGGCCAGCTGTCCATCCGCCAGCCACGTCCTGCCGTCCTGCCGTCCTGGCTCTCCAGCTAAGTCAACTGATTTAAGTGATATTTATGCCAGACGCCGCGGCCAGCGTTCAATGGAGCAAGTGATAAGCGTCACCAGACCAGAGCACAGCCAGAGCCACAGCCGGAGCCCCACTTGACGGACAGCTGTGAGAGCGCGCGAAGCGAGATGGTTTGGGTTTGGGATCTGTAGGAGTCGCGTCGCTCCCTGATTAATGGCTGATGCTGGCCAGCGGATACGGCTAGTGTCCAGGATGTACAAGTGTCCGACACTGCAGCATAAATTTTGTAATGTTAACACGACGTAAGACACCAGTTGAAAGTGTCTCTCTGCAGTTCCCTTCGGGCTGGCAAATGTTTTTCCACTAATTTTTCCATGTACCCTGATTAAAGAGGGTTAGCAGGGGTATTCAAGACTAGTGGGAAAGTTGCTTATGGGTGGAGCCTACATTTTAGAAGTGAAACAGCGGAAAGTTGAAGGGTATTAAGTCAGCCTTTGTACATATATTTCGTACTTTTTTAATTGTTTAATTTTGAGCCCGAGAAGCAACATTGATTGCACGCCCAGCCAGTGGCCCTTGGGCTCTGCCACCCCTCTCCGGGACACTTTCGGAACTCATTTGGACGACCACAAAAGTTATGTTGTCTCATTAACTGTTAACTTTTGGGCTGGTGCTGGTGCTGGTGCTGGTGCTGAAGCTGTTGCGGGGTTATTTGAGCTGTTACTCTTGCACATTTTTTTGCTGCTCACATATTCCTCAACTTTGGCAAGGACTCGACAGCGGTCTAGGGACATTGTTAAGGTAACGAGCGCTGTAAAAATAATATTTTTATTACAAACAAAAAAGGCGAACAAAAAAAACCAAAGGAGCAAGGGAAGCAAATATTGTGTGGCTGGCACCGAGCTCGAATTGCAACTAGAAAAAAGTTTTCCCTGCTCTCCGCTAAGCTTTTGACTTTCAAAGCGCACAAAAAATGTATAAAAATATATATATATGAAAATTAATTTTAATGCAACCGAAGGGAGCAAAAGGGATGGCACAAAAGGAAAAGCTGAAATTACATATGATGTTTTAATTAGTGGGAAACGAACGGAAAAATATGGCAAAAGCTGAAGCGAAAATGCATATGGAAATAATTGACTTAGCTTTCCCTCCCCCCCCTGTGTAACAATTTATGTTGCAGATCACTTGAAGTCTCGGCCACAGGGACATTTATTTGACTGAAAGAAATCTGTATTTCAGTGGATTCTCCTTAGCTACTACGTCAATGTTTAGTTACGGGGAAAATTTGTTTGCGTATGACATGAGGAGTTTTGATTTGCAGCTGTACCAAGGAAACATTTCGCACCGAACTCTACCATACGTTCCCTTATTTCTGTTTGCCATTACCCTCTCTTTTTCTTCTTCTAAAACTCGTACTTTTAACTGCATCTATGTGCCGTTTTCCCGCCTTTTTGTGATTTTTGCGCGGAAATTGCAATTTTTGCTTGCTCGCTTTCTGTTGCCAGAGAGGCATAGCCGCCCGCAGCCACTGCCATTGCCACCGCCACCGCCGCCCACTTAATGCAATCTAAGCGCAGCTGCTGCAGCATCATTACGACACTCTCCTCGCATGTGTGAGTGTGTGGTGTGTGTGTGTGTGTGTTTGTTTGTGCTAGTGTTTGCTTTACTTCCGCTCAGATTTAATTTTGTTGAAGCGAAGGCTGGACCGTGCAGTGGTGCGGAACGCAGTCGTCCAACTACTCCTCGTTTGCGCCGCCTGTTTGAACTTTTAGTTTACACTTTTTGTTTTGTTTTTTCGTTTGCTTCTTCTATTCCCATTTTAGCGTTTCGTCTGCTCTTGCTCTCAGTGTTTTTTTAGTGTATGTGTGTCCATTTTTTCACTGTTTCGCGTTACTGGCTATAATTTAATTCTGCTTGCATTTTTCATTTGCGGCACTTTTTGGCGCTTCACCTTGCCGCCAGGTGTTGTGAGTTATGAGCTCTGGACGGAGTGGGGCTGAGCGCAGTGGGGCGTGGAGCATCGCGGCACAAGCTGAGCTCTGACTTGCTGCAAATTACAAAAAAATTCCAATGAAAAATAAACGGGAAGTGCATGAAAAAGTTTTGAAAAATATGAAAATTCTCATGAGATTTGGTTAGCACTCGGACACATCCGAAATGGTAGTCGATGCTGGGACTATTCCTCTCAATTTGTATGCACACACAACCAAGATTACGTATTCGATCGCTTGTACAGGCTTTGCCACTTTTTTAGCTGCCATTCTTTTGCTATTCCTTAGGCAGTTTCCTCACTTAAATTGACTTTTTCTCAGGCATGCACCTTATAATAATAGCAATTAAAATATATAGATGCTGGCTGCACGCAAATTCCAATCAGGCATGTGTTTATATTCTAAATAGAAAACTTGTAAAATATACTCTTGTGCAAGTTGCAAGTTGCAAGTTGATGGAGGAGTGGCTGCAGGGTCTTCGCTTGTTTCTTGGCAACATCTCTTGGTCAGGGCAAGTAATAGAACTTTGACTGCTGCCTTGTCCACGTGATTAGAAAGTTTTTCATGACAACACAAGTGCAAGTGAGTGTGTGTGTGTGTGTGGTTGAGATTGTGCTCTGCATGTTGAATGTTGCTCTTCTACTTTGTATGCACTTAATAACTTTTACATAATTTTGTATATTTTATTGAAAATTTTCTTTACCAGTACTTGCAAAGCTTCTTCCCCGTATGGAATCCCCATGAATTCTATGTGTGTGTGTGTGGGTAGG